AATGATTTTAATAAATGTAATCATTATAATTTTCAAGCATAACAATACAGATATCAAATATACCATGACAAATTCTCAACCACAATAAGTCAGAAACGCTTAATAACTTATTCAATTCAAGTTTTAAACAAAACTTTAGAAAAAAATTAACACTCTCAAGTCTCAATAATTTTAATAAATCATTAAAAATGAGTAAAATTTTCATGTAAACCTCTCACGCTTTTTTCACTATTCTAAAGAATCAAGTACAGTGTTGAAATAGTGTGACAAATAACTTATTGTTCGGCTTCTCAGTAGCTTAAAGTGCATATTAAGAAATGCATTATGTATGTTTTTGTTTTTTAAATGTGCATATTAAAATAAAAAATGTATTTAAAATAGAAAAATGTGCATAATAGTCTCAACAAATAAGGATATAATCTTAAAATAAAACAAAATTTTAACAGAATTTCTTAAATTTCATAGAAGCTATACTACTTCACTAACAAGTATCCCAAAAAAATATTCATTTTTGCTTAACAAATCATATATTAACAATAAAAAGAATAACAGTGTCACCAAAAGAAGTTATTACGGCTTAACAATTTAAAAGTAAATATTTTTAGCTGTTTTAGGCTTTGTTTGGTAAGTGGGGAAGGGCTAGAAGAGGAGTAACTCCATTAGAAGAGCGTTAAGATAATCCAACACTGTTTGGATTATGTAGTTAAAATGACGGACAAGCTATTTTGCATTTGGCAAATAAATAGAGATCTCATTGGTTATTTCATGCAAATTAGGCAGGATCTTTGGCAAACAGAAGATTGACTAAAGGATATTTTGTATTTCTTAGAGGAAATCTAGTTTACCAGAAGACCAAGAAGCAAAGTGTAGTTTCTCATTCAATAGTAAAGTCTAAATATCGAGCTATGACAAATCTTACTTGTGAGCTAATTTGTATTAAAGATACACTAACGAAAATTGGTTTTCCTCCAGTGTTCTGTGAGCTTGTATGTAGACAACAATGCTGGCATCCACATAACTAAGAACCCCTATTCCATGAGAAGACGAAACACATAGAGATTGATTGCCACTTGATTCGTGAAAGATAGAAAAGGGAATCCTTAGAGCCAAGCACATACCTTCAGATCATGAAGATGCAAATATATTCACAAAATCTCTTGGAAGAACACAAATTTTATTCGTGACAAGCTGCACATGTATAATATATATGTTCGGCTTGAGAGAGAATGTTGAGAGTTATATTGTATGTAATGTATTTAGTCAGACCCACATTGCTTGTGGATTAGACCCTTTGTTCTTCCTATATTATTAAATAAGTCCAAGAAGAGATGGTTAAACATCCTATCTGATTACTCAATTAAAATTTCCTTTATTTTTAAAAAAATATCAGGATTACCCTTATGATAAATACAAAAGTTTTTAAGATACATCTGCAATCATTACCAAAGTTCTCATTATGAGTTATTTCATTAGGTTTTTGTTGAAAAATTAAATAAAAAGTTAAAAAATTAACTAGGCTAACCTAAGTATTAAACTATCATTATAGAGCAAATAATATTAATGAAGAGTGAATGACTTAATTTAGAGATATCAAAAACAAAAGTAATCATTATATGCTAATTGTAACCAATTATAAGAGGAGATTCAAAATCACATTACTACTGTTAAAAAAAATTCTTGCAAAAATGTCGATAATAACACAAGTTAAAATGTTTGATAAGAAAAAAAGACAAGTTACAATGAACTCAATAGGAAATTTGTGCATGGTTAAAAATTATTGGAAAATTTTTTAAGTAAATTATTCAAAACTACAATATATGTCGTTAGTAAGGGAACGGGCTATAAGTTACACCGCCTAGAGAGGCGGACTTGTTAACCCTTGGATAAGTTACACCGCCTAGAGAGACGGACTTGTTAACCCTCGGAAATAATGGTTTAAGTCATCCTAAACCGTGAAACAAATTAACAAAACCACTGACCACCAAATTATGTTTGGCAATCTAGTTACAAGTTAAACCCTCTCAATCCTTCAGTTAACCCTAACACAACCTTAAGTTATAAGCAGAGAAATTCCCTTAGGTCTTTACGGCGCATTATATTGCAACAATGTACATAATATTGAAATAATGCATGTTATATCGAAATAAACAAATGTTGAAATAGTTATATTTTACAATAACATAGAGGTAAGACGTGTTTGAGTTATTTCAAAACGTAATAAACATTTAAGGTTTGTTAGGTTATATAATGCGCAATATAAATTATGTCATGGACTTTTCTTAATACATCTATAAGTCGACACCGGGTGCACAAATTTCCAGCCTGTCTTCTTTCCTTGCTCCCCAGTTGTCAGAGGCTGATCCATCAACGAGCCGACCAGCATCACAAGACAGCAAGGGACTACCCAGCCAGCAGTAGAAGCAAAATAGTATCAGGTGTAGCAACTGCAGCAACTGCTGCAAAAGCAGCTGGCCAGTAGCATATTCTGATCAACTACATTTATGTAGCTGGCACAGAAAATACAATTTATGCCTACAATTGTTGTATGCCTGGTAATCAAGGGATGAAAATGGAATAATCAGAACTTCAGGGAAATGATTGCTTTTTAAATATGTCAGTTTATTGCTACAAGTGTTGTATTCCTGGTAACCAGGGGATGAAAATGGAATAATTGGAACTTCAGGGAAAGGGTTGCTTTTTAAGAATGTCAACTGTGCTTGCTCCTCAACTAAAATAGAGTAGTTACCTATTCATGTAAAAATCATAGTTGAAATAGAAAATGATACTTCATTCAAATTAGTTATATTGGAAAGAAACATAAATGATGGTCTCTCTTAAGACTGCCAAAATAGAATTAAGAAAAGAATGCTACTCTCGCGTGGGATAGGTAAATCAGATTCTGAAGGTAATAATGGTTCTCTTATGTGGTACTTGCTAATGAACTTAATTCATGCAAGATAAATTTGTATTGGATAATGCTTTATTAAATATGAATCGGTGCTTTAAATATCGGCTGTCATGTCTGACATGTCGACCGACATGGTGAATTTAGGGGCGAACCGATACGATATGGAGCTTTTTAATGCATATGGTGCTTTCAAAGTTCATATCGGATATCAGGAGACGTATAAGATATGTCGACTAGAGATATCAAACGACAGCAATGTCGGCCGATTTTAATGATCATGATCATTAGGGTTTTAATTATTTTCGTTTTAATTTATAAATCATGCTTAAATCACGTTTAAACCCTAGTTTAACAATTAATTGAGTTTACTTGTTAATTTAAGATGTATAAACCCTAGGTTTGTAATAACTAAGTGATGTAAACGTATTTAAATTATTTTATATATGTTCAATGATTAGTTCCAATCATGCTTAGTTAATCATGTTGATAATTTATGTTTTATTTGAAAATTTTTGGTTAATTGAGATGCTAAACCCTAACTAGATTAATTCAAGAATTTAAATCATGTTGAGTTAATCCCTGTTAAGCAAATATGAAAGTTTAAATCTTGTTATATGCCTCGATGTTAATAAAATTAAGTTTTTGAATAAAATTACAAAACTACAAACGTCAAAATCTGATCTGTGAAGATCTTCTTTGGCCGGTCGACCGACCAAGGCTAGCCGGTCGACCGATGAGATCCTGTGACTGCACTTCTCTCTCTCCTTCGACATAGGTTAGGGGGAAAAAGGATAAGTTATTTCCGTCGCTCTTCTCCCTCTCCTTCAACATGTCATCAGTCTCTTCTCAAGCTGTTCTTTCGACATCAACATTAGGCGATCTTCTCTCTCCTTAACTGCCAACATCGAGCTCCTCATTTATCACATCTTTCCTTCAACATCAACCCTAATCATCATTAGTTATTTACTTTTTAGTATGTTTAGACAATAGAATTTATTAAGTATGTTTACATTTTATTTATGATATTATATTATACATATACACACCATCCGATATGGCAATCCAATATTTTTTTTGTCTCCCGACATATCCCCGATTTTCGCTATCCAACATGAATTTTGGCCATCCGACATGAACCCGACATATAGTATTTAAAACCTTGATATGAATAAGAATGATCCACGTGCATATAAATGCAATTTACATTTAGAGGAACTCTTGGATTTCATACGACGTAAATTTACAAAAGCAGCATATAGTTAATTCTTGTTTCGTTAATATGTGTGAAGTGATTGTGATTAATAAGGTATGAGGTGATCGTAGAGAAAATATAGACTCAATTCTAGCTACCTATGCATGCAAATTGGTTATCTAATCTGTATCCTTGTACATATTGCCTTTAAAGTGATTTACAAATCTAAAGAATCTATCCTTTAGCCAACCAAAAGCTTGTGTTTTGTTGCATTCTACGGTATGCTCACATAACAACCTAATATGAAAAACTATATAAGATAAATCAGTCCGCTCATGTCTTGAAGTGAATTTAGGATGTTAGCAAATAAATACTACTATCATGATAAGAAAGGAATCATCCACAGCTTATTCTAAAAATTCAAATAGAGGAAATTATTGAAACAAAATATGATACAAGTTGAATCCGATAAGAAGTATTCTTCCTTTCATGCCCAAAATTATCATGTGACATTTTTCATCATTAATATCAGTTTCTTGCAGACATTTTTATGTAATTAACCTAGAAAATTCACCTACTTCAGCTTTCAAATGGCATAGAGCAGAAATAACACGTAGGAGTAAATTTCATATTTTGTAATTAACGGAATATTCCCAAAATAGAAATTAACAAACCTTAAACAGTGGTTCTTATTTTAAGCATGGACTTAAGAATAATAAAATGAAATAGGAGATAGAAAATGCACATCAAACACTTACACATGCATTGTCAATTTAAGCAGAAAACAATTAGCCACCTACACAACAATTACGAACAGAAGACAATAAAATAAAAGCGGAAAAATGAAAAATAGAATACTTTAAGTTGATTCCAGAGAGTCAGGAAATATAATTATTTCACCTGAGCTTCAAATGTGAGATTGGATGATTGATTTGCAGAACCAGAAAATGCCATGTTAGAATCAGTTTCTTGCATTGAGCAACCTCGATATTGTTCTAAGCCCTCTTTATCTGAGCCACACGCAATATCATCGAACAAAGAAATATCAACACCATCATCTACAGAAATGGAGTAACTGCTATCATTGCTCAAGTATGTACACTTCCTCAAGAGAGCACCATTCTGACATACACAAAAATTATGATGTGTTAAAAGCAAGTGAAGGAAAATAAATATTTCAATCACATATTTCTATATTTATATATCAAAAATTTTATGATATATTATCGACCTCAGGTTTAGTAAAGTTTTTTTTTGAGAACTTTTAATTATATCACAGTTCATGGTTGATTTACATCAAGATCTCAAAATTAAGAAGTTTCTTCACATGCAAATTTGACCATAATAACCAATTTTAAGTGCATAAGTGACATATTCCAAGAATTATATACCACTTCTTATCCAAATGAAAAGTTGACACGAATAAAAAAGTAACATTATGGCCGCGTTGAGAGCAGGATAAAGACTTGAGCTTTTAATGAACATATCCCACCCACGATCATTAAAGCTAGCTAATTAGTTTTACCATTATAATAAATTACCTGAAGCTTAAACATGATCACAGATCTTTGGGATAATTCATGAAAATCTCAAAAGAATGTTCTTCACTTTTACTACTTCTTTTGACCTCATTCACAATAGCTAGTTCTAAGTCAGAGCCTAATTAATCCAGTTACATGCGGCTTTACTTCCATTGTTAAAAAAACCATTTAATTTATGCCTTTGCTTAACATTTTTTTTAATAAACGAGTGCTTTGTTTAGAAGAATCTAATTGTGATAGTACCATATCCCATTTTACTTTCATCCTAAAGTTGATAATGTATGTCTTAGTGCGCCTTTACAACCTAAAAATATATGACATCTTCAGCTACATTGAAGCAATTTAATGTTTACCAAAGCTTTTTCGCCTAGTAGTTTTGTTCTTATGTCCAACAACTTGAGCAAGTTTGATATTCATTTATCAAATGGGAAGAGTTAGATGTTAAATATTATATACCAATGTAGGTATTTGGGTACATGGGTCCATATTTGTGCCCGCTTATATAACCCTCGTAATCGCTATTTAAGAAAGGTTAGGGTTGTATAGGAATAATAACTTTGTCTTCTCTCTCTTTCAACAGTAAAGTATTTATACAGTCAACATAGTGACTTATCTTCAAATTATGCATTCATCTAAGCCATATTAGAATGCTTTAATAGAGAAAATCAGCAGGAGAATTCTTCAAGTTAAAAGAATCGCAGGGATTTTTTTGTTACAACCACCAAGTTATTTAACCCAACCCCAACAATGACCCAAAAGCTTCCATATAAAAACCAGATCATCGTTTTCAGATAACGGACAGACTACTTGTGAAGGATTTTGAAGATAGAATAAGAAAAAAGAAGGTAGGTGATTTATACTTTGAGAAGTAAAAATGCCAGAAAATGTGATCATTAATTTTTGAATAGACATGAAGATTTTGTTAATATGTGACCAGAATGTACCAAGTAATTTCATCATCATCTGACAGTAACTTGAACTATTGCCAAAACTGGCTATTATCCCTGTCTTCTGTATTATTATTGCCTTTCCAAAGATAAATGTAGCTTTCTATTCAGTTCCAAATACAGAGGAATCCTACTATCAATGTATTTCAGTTAAAAGAAGTAGAATGCTACTTATTTCACATTGTATTTCTCAAAGTCATTAAGGTGATATCCACTGCATCTTAACAGCAAACATGGCGTATACCTACATACCACATCTTGGGCGCCACAACATGGCTGATGAGGATATGGAAGTAACATTCATCCAAATATTTTTCCTTTCC